GCACGTGAAGTGTATACTACAGATGTTTGACATATACGAAGTATTCAGTTCTATAAACATTTAAAGAGGAACTAAGTATTTAGGTCTTCTGGATAACAGAACAGTAAATAAAATAGTTTCATCCTTTGTGAAGACCTCAATCTTGCACTGCAAATATTATATACTTACTAAAAAGATATTTCAATCTATTCAACCATATTTGGTAGGGAACTCTACTTTAATGCAAAAAACAAAAATGGGTCCACAAACCGCTACATGAGAACTGGGGTTGGTGGGGAGGAAGAGAAGGGCATAAGAGAAATGCTTACAAGTTTCACCATTTGTAAAAAATGAGCAAGCAGCTTCAAACCAAATATGAAAAAGGCAATTTTTAAGATTAGAGGACTTTAAAATATTTTTGTTTTCATGTAAGAGACAACAGCTTACAAGTGTAACAAATAGAGACAGAGATAGATAGGTATATAGAAAGAGGTAGATACAGATATAGATTGATATGTATATATTCATACACATATATATTTATAATTAAATAAACCATGCTTCATGATTTCACTATATTAATTCTACCTATAAACCTTCAATAATCTTATTCTGACCAGGAATGCTTTCTCTCTAAGTCCCACTTGACCTCAAATCTACCTCCAACACAAAGACTATTTTATCATTCACAAACACCCCCTACACTGTACTAGACCAATTTTACAAGCTAGTGTTTTTAATTGAATTGCAAGAAAGGATTTCAGGGGGAAAAAAGTGCTGCAAATAAAAAACAGAATGAAGAAATGAGCTTTCAGAGGACATGACAACGAAGAATGAAAATGTGGCCTGAATAGTACCTTTGGGACTGAAGCTCTACTGGTTCTATCTCCCGTAATACTTTGTCCCTCCTTCCCCATCGTGGTCATCTCCACCTTGCAAGTATCAAGACAGCCAGAGCACAGCTCTTTCTCCCTCCATACCAGGGAAGGAAATAGCAGCTCCTAACACAAAGGGTGTTTGGAACTCACAGCTCTGCTCCCTGAACCACTGCCTAGAAACAACAGCTTTTGTGTGTATTTTATATTTTTCTGAGAACTTTTCCATTATTGTTATTACCTGGCTTTCACATAAATTATATGAAAAAAAGTTTTAAAATATAAATGTCTATAAACTAATGTTTTAAATTATCTTCATGTAAAATTCTTTATATAAAGTCTGATTTTAGAATAAATGTTTTGGGAACAAGCCATGCCAATATTATATTCTGTAAGAAAACAACAACAACAACAAAATAGCTCATCAAGATGGTTAGATCCGGGAGAAGAAATTCTCCTGTTCATTTGGGAATGAATTCTTATCATTCAGAAAGAAAGACTGTCCAAAAGAGAAGATGGCACACTCTGGGAATTTAAAGACAACTTCCTGCCTGCTGAATGATTATGATTAGGCTCTACACTGTTGCAAAATATGCCCATGTTCACAAATGTTCTGGATGGTCCCATTAAAGTATCCCCATGTCTTTGACCGTCATGGATCATGAAGTGAAATATTCACAGGCTCAAGAAGATAACCTGGATGTCCAAGGCAGGTAGGTATGTGAATAAAGAGAGCTAGTCCTGTTAAAGGCAATCATATGTACTTCATTTTTTAAGTGCAGCCTCAGCCAAACAAAACATTTGCAAAGGTTAAATCCAGCTCACCTGTAGAGTAGTTAATTTGCATCTCCTATTTAAACTCATAATAGATCAGCAGGAGGAAACTGGAATTCTATTTGTTGCTTTTAGTATTAGGGCTACAAGCAGGCTGGGCCATCACTTTCAAATCAGAATTTCTATTAAAATGATATTATCCAATATATGATTTTGCTTCATCTCTTTTAAATACTATCTGTTATATAAGAGTGACCCATAAAGTTATGGGTCTGCAGTCTAGCCCCTTGGTTGATCAGGGGAAGTAAAGCAAAACAAAAATAAAAGCTAAACTTGGAAAGGAACAGACGAGGAGAGAAGAAAGGGTCAGGGAAAGTTACAGCACAGAGTGAATAAGCATAAAGAAAGCCAGAAGACTTGGAGAAGTTCAGAGCTAATGAAAAAAACAAGAACACAGGGTCGGGGAGGGAAGGATGTGAAAGCCAGCTGGAGTAAGAGAAAGCAAGGAATATAGGAGCCAACAGAAATCCAAGGACAGAAAGTATTGGAGATTGAAGGGAACAGGAAATTTATTGGAAACCAAGTTGTTTTTCCTTTTGTATCCAATGCAACTCTATTCCAGGCAGAACTCTAGTCTCAACCTCAAAGAGGATAGAAGGGAAGTTGAAACTCACAGGAGTGTTTCATGGGCAGGAGCCAGGAGCTCTGGAAAGACAGTTTAGAGGAAACATGATATGACAGCAGGCCCTCTGACAGCAGATACAGGGATAGGAGGGTGGCAGCATCACCCAGCCCTGTGTTTTCTAAAATGAGGTGAAGTAAAAACAATGACAGATAGGCAGCAACTCAGAGCTACTGAATCGGAATGCCCAGTGCATTCCATAAACACCTCAAGTGATTCCTATCACTAGAAAATGTTAGGAAGCACTGGTAGAGCAGTGATACTGGGGGGCTCTGGAACTAGAACTGCCTAAATTAAATTCCTAGCTCTGTTATTCACTAGTTGTTGACCATGAACAAGTTATTTAACCTTTCTGCCTTTCAATTACTCAAATCTATATAATGGACTGCTGTGAGGATTAAAGGAGTTATTGCATACAAAGTAGTTAAGGCAGTGCCTGGTACATATTGAACACTTAATAGTGGTAGCTATATAAAATAGTGGTAGCTCTATAAAAGTAGCTATATAAAGAACACCTACAAAATAACATTCAATTGATCAAAAAATAAAATATGAGAAAGATATAAAAAGGGCTGCATCTCTTATAAAATACCACGGAGCATACTTCCCAGTGTCACAGAGACCAACCCATAACCCTCAGGGTTTCCGCCCCTTGTCTCAGCATTCAGGAGCCAGGTATTTCAGGAAATCAATATGTGAAACGCCTTAACAAAAACTTTTTTTTTTCCTTCAAAAGAACATATAAGTCAATTCAAATTAAAAATCTAAATAAAGTCTGATCAAATCACAATCTCAAGTCTCCATGACTTTAGAATGTAATGAATCCAGGAGTTGGCTGATGCTAAGACCTACATCCATCACAAGCTGTCAAGGATCGTTCACCTGCTCGTCCACCTTATTTCATAGTTCCGTTCTCTTTAGTCATTTCTCAGTAGATTATTCCCAACAATCATCTACTTCTTCTGTAGAACCCCATGTAGTTCTCTGCTCGTCGCATTATGGTAAGACTCAAATCTCTTTATTTTTCCAGCGTGAAGCTCAGCTCTACCATAACAAGCCCCGCCGCATTCGCAGCCTCTTTACTGAACATCCCAACCATCTTATGGCCTTAGCTAAAGCCTTGATCATCTTTATGAAAAGTACCTGATCTGTAACCTGCTCATGTAGAGGCTGCCTAGTTTCCTATGCCTTGTTTAGTGAGTGGAAGAATGGATGGCACATATAGTTTCCATCACTTCTTTAAGACTGTTAATCCTTCTTCTTTTTTAAAAGAAATTTTATTGGGGAAGAGTATGTTTTTCCAGGACCCATCAGTTCCAAGTCAAGTAGCTGTCTTCAATCTAGTTGAGGAGGGTACAGCTCACTAGCCCATGTGGGAATTGAACCAGCAACCTCGGTGTTATGAGCCTGAGCTAACCGGCTGCCTCAATCCTTCTTACTTGAATAAAAACTGCTCCTTTGAGATCCATGTAATTTGGTCATACTGTCTTTTATCCCTGCTTGAGGACTCGTATCTCCCTTATATACCAATGCCATTAGAAGTTAGCTCGCCATTTTTCCCTTCATCCAAAATGTTGACACTATTCTGCAGAGTTTTCAGTGTCCTGGTGAACCTTCCATCCGATATTTGATTTCCAGTAAAATTCACTGGAATTTTATTCCGTTCCAGACATTAATTCACATGGTCATACAAAGGACTTATTATTCTGTGTGACTGCTTACGTATTTAGCCTCTGACCACAAATATCTACATTTTCAACTTTCTAACTCTGTTGTGCCCATGACTAAAATATTTGGCTTTATCAGTATTACAAGTCTTTGGAAATGTGCTTTCACTTCATCTGTCAGATATCTTATGTCAAGAAAGAGGGTCTTGAGAATGGCAATGTACCTGGTAACACGCTATTTGAGAAACTATGGTATCATAATAATGAAACAAACTTTTCTCAAGATGAAGAAGTTCATTCTGTGAAATACATGTTTTGTTCCAAACAATACTATTGATTTAAATATACAATAAGAATACCAACATGTATAAACAACCTCAAATATAAGAAACATAAAGTGATGAAGCTGATAAATATGGCATAAAATAGGATAAACATAAATAATCACATCACACATAAAGTTAAATTCACCTAATTAAGGATTCAGACAATCAGATAAGTAGCTTATAAGAAACACATTTAAAGAAAAATAACAGAGAAATTGACATCTATTGTCTAAGGCAATTACTTTTTAAAAGACTAAAATTCAAGACGAAAGGGTACGTAAATGCTATGCTTCCCTTCTCTGACAACCACATCAAAATTACAACTAAAGTGCAGAGCAACCATCATTGAGAATCATCTAAAGTCTAGCTGAAACAAAGTCTTATATAAAGATATACAGAAGAAGCCACATAGAAACTGGCAGGAGGTGAGGAACACAGAACAGGCTCGCCCTACACTTGTGTGTAGCAGTTAAAAATTGGGAGGAATATCTTGGCTGCAGCGTTTCCCCTTGAGGAGTGAGGGGTCCCAGGCCTACACCAGGCTCCTCAGTCCAGAGCTCCAGTGCTGGGAAGAGAGGTACCTGTAACTTCTGGCTGTGAAAACCAATGGGGATTGTGGCTGACTGAGAAAGAGGGTGGCTAGAGTCCCAGGTGCTCCTCTTAAAGGGACCACACACAGACTTCCTGACAGACTAACTTGCTCTGAGCTCCAGCACTGGGTCAGCAGCTGGAAAAGTGCCAGGTCGATGGTGGAAGAAACTGAATTGTCTGGCTTCAGGGCAAGGGCTGGAGTGGCGGCTCTCTCCCAGACAGAAGTGCTGACAGGCACCATGGTTCCTTTGTTGAGCATTCAACCCCACCCAGTATGCAGATGCAAGGGGCCACCATATCTGAGTCTCCATTAACCTGGATAACATTGTTCAGCCCACAAGGTGATTCCCTGAAACACCTCCCCACCCAACATGTGGGCCCAACCAGGCAGCTTCCTGTGTCTCTTCCATACAAACGGCCTGTCTTGGTTTATGCTGTGGACTTTCTTAAATTCTCTCAAAGGTTTGCAAGACCCAAGCAAGCAGCACCTGACCTTGACATGTCCCGTACCACTTGCTAAGCAGTCCTGAACCTGTACTAATAGCAGCCGGCCATGGTTCACAGCTCAGCCTCTCTCAGACACCTCCAAGCTCTGCACAAGTGGTGAGCATCTGCAGATCTCTTTGTAGTTCATACCAAGTGGCCCCAGGCAGGGCACAGGCCATGGCTGAACTTGGCCTGCACCAGAGCCCCTCCTAAGAGGCCTTAGAACCAACACACCTGGTGGCCAACTTCAGACCACACCAGAGCACCACCAAACCAAATCCACAAACAACGCATCCAACGGGCAGACTAGGCATGCACCAGAGTCTTGCTAAAGCAAATCCTGCTCCATAGTGTCAGCCTCTGCACAACAGCTCCTCCACTGTAGTCACAACCAATCATCCTGAGGGTCAATCCCTCCCACTGACTTGCAAACAGCAACTAAGGCTCAACTACAACAGGAGGCCACATATAGCCTACACAAGGGACACCCAGCTCAGGTGACCAGACAGATTCTACCACTGGGTCCAACAGGACACCTACTATATAAGGCCACTCTAAACTGTAATCAGGAGATATCACAGCCCTACCTAATACATAGAAACAAACATAGGGAGGCAGCTAAAATGGGGGAACAAAGAAACATGTCCCAAATGAAGGAACAGAACAAACTTTCAGAAAAAGAACTAAACAAAATGGAGACAAGTGATCTACCGGATGCAGAGTTCAAAACACTGTTATGAGGATGCTCAATGATCTCAGGGAGAACTTCAACAAAGAGATAGAAAACATAAAAAAGAACTAGTCATAAATGAAAACAATGACTGAAATAAAGAATACATTAGAGGGAACCAATAGCAGATTAGACAAAGCAGAGAACTGAATGAGCAATTTGGAAGATAAGGTATCAGAAAGCACCCAATCAGAACAGAAAAAAGAAAAAAAGAAAAAAAATGAGGATAGTTAAAGGTGTCTTTGAGACAACATCAAGTGTACCAACATTTGCACCATAGTGGTACCAGAAGGGGAAGAGACAGATAAGGAACTAAAAACATATTTAAACAAGTAATGATGGAAAACTTCCCTCGCCTGGCAAAGGAAATAGATATACAAGCTCAGGAAGCACAGAGAATCCCAAACATCATGAACCCAAAGATGTCCACATCAAGACGCATCAAAATTAAAATACCAAAGGTTAAAGACAAAGAAAGAATATCAAAAGCAGAAAGAGAAAAGCAGTTAGCTACCTACAAGGGAGATTCCTTGTAGGTAATCAGACTGTCAGGCTGTCAGCTGATTTCTCAACAGAAACTCTAGAGGCCAGAAAGGACTGGAACAAAATATTCAATGTGATAAAAAGCAAGGACCTACAACCAAGATTATTTTACCCAGCAAAGCTATCATTTAGAATTGAAGAACAGATAAAGAGTTTCCAAGACAAGAAAAAGTTAAAGGAGTTCATCACCACCAATCCAGTAATACAAGAAATGATAACGGACTTCTTTAACAAAGAGAAAAAAAAAAGGCTTAAAAAATATGAATAAAATGGCAGTAACTACATATCTATCAATTACTTTAACAGTAAACGGATTAAATGCTCCAATCAAAAGACAGGGGGCCTGAATGGATAAGAAAACAAAACACTTATATATGCTGCCTACAAGAGACTCACTTCAGATTGAAAGACACACAGACTGACAGTAAAGGCATGAAAAAAAGTTATTTCATGAAAATGGAAACAAACAAACAAAAAGCTGGGGTAGCAATACTTATATCACACAAAATTGATT